TACATGGAAAGATCTTGAAATGCTGCCCATTCCAGAATGAATCAGAACAGAAAATTAGCATCCGTGGTTGCAGAAGTTTGAATTGTTAGTGTTTGACAATCACTGCGTTTGTTCCTCAAGGTTAGTTAACACAGTATATGGCCTACAAAAGAAGATTTGAATTTATGAGACTCTGAAGATGTTTGACATCCCTCTATTAGTCAGAGCTGTCGATCTGATTCCTCAGTGCAGATCTTTTTTAATCAGTTCTGTTAATCTATCTAATCCGTTTTCAGAGATCTCAATGAAGACACAAAAACTGCTTTTGACAGAGCTGTACAGAGCCAACTTTTATGTATCAGGCCTGATATTTTTAATGCTTGCCTTTTGCTGCAAGTGCCTTATGTTACTTGATGGATCGTCTATGAAAACACATTCATTATTTTAACTCTAAACTTTGATTTTGACTCTCAACTACCTTATTTTAAGGCTAAACTATTATCATTTCCTTTTAGATTTGAAGCAAATGCTATTGTAGTGCTTCCCTCACCCCACAGCTTAGTAAAATATTTGCGGATTCCAGTATTTGTTTCCTGCTGACAAGGAGCCGGTACCTAAAGTCACTCGCACGGTGCTTAGCAGGGGAGCAGCTTTAATGAAAGGAGGCCCTCGTTGCTCGGGTGCTTCTTCCCCCTTAGACTTATTGAACATCTGGTTTGAACGCTCGTGTACAGCCTGAAGGCACCCAGGGCACGGCGTTTAGGGGGACAGGCCTTTGCCCTTCAGCTCTTCAGAATGACCCCGTCGAGCAACAGGGCAAAAATAATAGGCCAAATTCTGCTTTGGGCGCCTGATTTATTGTTGCCGAGTGCTTTTGTTTGCCTTGGCAATGCAGAAGTGTTGCTCAGTGCTCAGGAACAGGAATTCGAAACTGAGCGCAAAGGGAAAGGGAAAATGACTAATTTGGATTCGTGACTGACTCAGATTCATTCGTTTGGGTTTCTTTTGCAAGTGTCTGGACTTCACAAATAATGAGCACCCTGAATGAAGAGGCTGGGGGGAAACTATGGGGGGCAGGACCAAAGATTTTGCTTTCCCTGTGGTTGCCCTGAGACAGCCTCTCCATCGGGAGGAGCACCGGGGAACTTGTGGGTTTATTGGGAGCCTGGCCCGGGTGCCCCAAAGGGCCCGCTGCGGCAGGGAGCCCTCTGCCTGGGAGCTGCCCGTGAGGAGCCCGGGGACCTTGCACCGAGACCTGCCTTGCCTTTCATTCCCCCGCTTGCTGGGATGCTGTATGTTTAAAAAAAGTTATTAATTACCCACTGGTAGCTTGAAAAGAGAACTGTATAAATGTTAGCTGTTTTTTTTTTTTCATAAAACTTGCTCTTTCATGCCCTTGAGACTTAAAAAATATTAGATTAAAACATATTAGTGAGTATAATTTAAGCGGCAGGGTTGTTCTGTGTTGTAACTGTGAATGACACTGGTTTCTTTTATTTATATTATTCCTTTATTTATATATCCCATGTGACCTGATCCTGCACATACATACATACTGCACATGTTGCTTTGCAAGCACATTCTGAGTGTTATTCTGAGAGATTTACTGCCGAGTGTCTCATGGAGTGTGCTGGAAGTCAGACACTCTCCTTTTGAAGGTCTTTTAATTGAGGTTGAAATAAAGGCAATCATCATCTTTACTACTTTTACTAAGTTTTTACTTTTAAGCTAAAGCAACAACAGGGATTGGTTAGTAGTGCAATGATAATTTTCTCATTATTTTATTTGCTTATATAGAATAAAAAAGCTTACAACAGAACTGCAAAGCAAACAAGATGAAGTGCACAGTGTGAAGGAGGGTTTGCGATCTTCCCAGGAGGAGAAGGAGGCTGCGCATCAGCAGTCGCAGGCGCTCAGGTGAGAGCAGCTCTCTCAGGGTGCAGAACTGCCGCATTTTCTTTGTTCTGCAGAATACAGAAAGATTCTGTAGCCTTAGCTAACCTTAACCGGCAAATATCACTATTGGTTATTAATGTCGTTAGCCACAGGATAGGCTCTTCAGAACTTTGAAAGCATTGATTAATGCTGGAAGTAAGAAAAAAGCACTGGGAATGAAGGAGCATTCCTTACGTGTATCGCCTGCTTGATATTCAGCTTGATATTTTATTTGGCTTGGACCAGAATATACAGACATGTAAACTGTGTTGCTGTCCCTTCTCAAGCAGTAAAATGTAATCGTACAGTTGTCTGTATAATTTTGTTTGTACATGCAGGTTTTAAATCAACATTTACAAGAAATTTAGTATAAATATCCTTGATACTAAGCATATTCCGTGTACTGAATTCTTGTAACTGTACTACAAAATATAACAGAGAAGTAGTTGCCAAATTTATATTATTGATTGTTGCAGATCTCTATTTGCTTTTACGAATGTGTGTCTGTTTTTTTGTGTGTCTTGCAGAAATACATTGGAACACCATTGCTCAACTCTCAGCAAGGCGCTCTCGTTATTTCCCTTTATTAGAGGTGAACTAGACAGCATTAAAGAGGTTGTATCCAGTAACCTGGCAAACTGGGCTGCCCTGAAGGAGGAAATTTTTCTGCAAATAAAGGCAGTTAGCAAAGAAGCTTTGGCAGGTAAATCGTCATCTTGCAGTACTCTGGGCAAGCTGGAGTAACATTTGGTAGTTCAGTAAAAATAAGAGGGGAAATTACCACTTCTGAGTTATCAAACCTGCACCTTAGGCGTTTGCAGCCGCACTCCGTGTGGGCCTGAGCAACACGTATTTCCAAGGATGCGGGAGCGCCTGGCCGAGGGGCCTTGGCCTGGGAATCGCCGTGGAGCAGCCGGGACGGGGATGTCTCCTTGGCCACGGCCGCCTTCCCGCTCCCACCCGCAGCCTTCACCCGCTGCCGCCTCCTGCAAGGCCGCGTCAGGCCTCGCTGCAGCTGCGCTGTAACGCACGGCTTTGGCCTTCATCCCCTTTGGCTGTGCCTCAGCTTCGGGACTGATGCGCTGAGCAGTGTGTGGCAATTACAGACTCCACCGTGCCCACCAGCCTGGGTTGACTTCTGCAGCTGGACTGCACTTCTGACGTAACGTTTCTACGTGAATTGCTTTCCTTGTAGCTCTGCAGTGTGTTCTGTTGAGCTGCTAGTTGCCCTGGAGCTTTTTTTATTTTATTTTTGTATTTATGCTGCGTTATTAAGGGGGAAAAGAAGCAGGTGAGCTGATGTCACCTTCCAGGTCCTTGTGGCAAGGCATCAGGGTGCATCAGGCAACGCCACTCCCAAATTGCTGGTGAAACCCTGGGCACTCCCCTGCTAATACATTGCTCAAGTGCAGTTTGCTTATGTGGAGTGTCTTGGAGAATAAGTCATTGAACTAAGTTATGTAAAATAAAAGCTCCCTCGTAATAGCTCCCCATAGCCCATTCTTCCAGTAAAAAGAGGGAATTTTTAAGGTTTTCCCTATTTATTCCTTTTCACAACAGGAATAAGTGAATGGGGCAGTGCTGCTGCAGGAGAGAGTGGGCAGACACCAGCACAGAGACAGGGTGTTGAACCCAAACAGGAGTCTGGCGTGTTTGAGCCCGGTAGCGGAGCACCCAGAACAGGTCACCTGGCAGCCGGGGTCAGTGTCTGCCTTTCGATGGTGACTTCATCTCCTGCTCGGGCTGAGCGCACCAAGTGTTCGTGCCCCCAGGAGCTAATCTCTTCCTGTGCTTATTCCCCACCTAGTTCTACATAAATCGATGAATTTCTGCAAGCATTTTCGAAGTATCATAGTATTTTAAGACTTCTTTAATAGAATTTTCAGATTCTTTTAAACGTTTATCTCCCAAATAAAAACTATTTATCATTGATGCGTGCAGAACATGGGCTTTATTTAGGCAATTGTTTCACTTGGTACGATTTGCTTTGCAGATGTTCACTTATTTATAGAATATCACACTTCATTTATTAGTAATGTTCACCTTATCCTTGACCTTCAGATTCATGAAATCCCATGGAAGACAAAAAAAAATGCAGATCTACCCAGGGAAAATTATTCTCTCTCAAATTCTGGACAATTATTATTTGAATCTCCATTAGATGTGTTGTGTATCTCCCACACCCTAGCGTGTGGACATTCTCTGTTAATTAACGTCAAGACTAACTGTGTAAAGTAGAAACAAGTGTAAAAATTTTTGAAATCTTTCAGTATTTACATCAGTAGAACAAATTTATTTAAATGTGGTGTAGGTAGGAAAGGTTGTAGTTAGTGAAAATACTGGTACTCCAGCAATAAAATTAAAATTTGCCTGTGGGCAGAAAATAAAAACCACCACATAATAGATGATTTAAAAGTTCAGTTAGGCTTCATCTAACTTGAATGTTGTAATTGCTAGTAAAAATCAAAGTGGCATCACTTCTTGGGACATCTGAACATCTAGGGCTTTAGTGGGGGGCGGAAATAGAAACCAATTGCAACTGCTTTTGAAAATGTTGAGTACAGTCATTAAGGATGACTTAAGCTCAGGAAAACCTGTGAAAATGTAGGAGGAGGCTCATTATACCCCACCCATTAGTGGCTTATTTGCCTTGCGATAGAGCCTGCCCAGGAAGCTTCCTTGGAACTGCTGCGCTGCTAAATTGAAGAGCTAATGAAGGAGAGAGTAAAAAGGCCGGTTTTTTATGTTTTGAAGATGCACATTGATTACTTTAACAGCAGTAGTCACCCTAAGTAATGTAAAGAGAAAAACAAAATTAATGCACATGCCTGAAGATGTTTTGAAGATCTGTATTCTGCTTACCAGGGCTGGCTTCCTTAATGTCTGCAGGGAAGTACTGCGAAATCTTCCTAAATTTGGTTTCAGCGGGATTTGCAGTTGGTTTTTGTATGTCAATAGTTGTTTGTGTATCTTGTCAAGATGCTGCATTCAAGTGTTTGTCAGCTGCTGTTGTTTGGCAGGCATGTGTATGTTTTATTTTGGTTTTGAGACCTTGTAGAAAATACGTACTATTCCTTGGGATAAAAATGGCGTTATTCCTCCGTGTGAAGAACAAGTTAGACAAGAGGTGTTGCACGTTGTGGTTCTTTTGGCCCTCAGGTGATGTAAATGGCTCATCAGGGCCCGTGCCCCATTTAAAACTACAGACTGCTGAAGTCCTGAGGTTGTAAATCAGCTAAGATACCAAAGAAAGCAAATTTGACAACCATCTGTATGGTTTTTCTCCTCAGAAATATGCAGATTGAATCAAAGGTTATCGAAATCCCAGAGAGAGAATGAATCCCTCCAAGAAAAGGTGAAACATCTCACTTTGGTGGCTGATACAGTTGAGTTGAAAACACAGCAGCTTCAAGCTTCTCTTCAGCAAGGGAACGAGCTACAAAATAGGTGTCGGGAGCTACAAAAGGAATCATTAGGTAAGAGCTTTTTGATGCTTCAAACCAACTTTCAAGTAAAATGAAATGGTATTTTTTTAAGCAGCTGTAATTTTTATTTTGAGAGTACTGATCAGCTCGAATCAGGCCCTTGTAAAAAATGCGTGTTGCCCAGTCAGGAAGATGGGGTAGAAGAAAACAAAGTGAAGGAGGAGAGCAGTGGAGGTGGTAATAACACAGTTATGGTGTAACACCTGCTGGTGTTGTATACAGCTGGAATTGCTGTGCAAAATGCTCCCGGGGAATGAATGTGGTGTCCGACTAAATCAGGCTGTTTTCTCTTAGACTGGTTAAACTTAAGCCTATTTGGTGATTTAGTCTCAATACTTTGTCTCAAGAATCTAGAAAGCCCTCTTGAAAACTGTAAGGTTAGTGATAACACTTAAAATTATGTTATCTTTTCAGCTCTGTTGAGACATTGACCTGTTCCAAAAAGGCTGTTATGGGTTTTTTTTTGTTTCAAAGAACACTTGAAATTGTGTTCTTTCTAAAGCAGTACTGCATTCATAGGGCTGGCTCAAAGACATTCTGGAGGCATTTGGAGCATATAGAAGCTGTGCCGTTCCAGGCATCGTGATGAGTCATCCAAGTGGCACAGTAATTACCGTGCTGTCTCATGCACAGCGTGTAATTTCAAATGTAAGGGTAGTACTGCTAGTCGTGATGAACGAAATTCACTAATCCTGCAGTTGCCGTGATAATGCTAGAGGTGAGACCTGAGAAGTAAAATACCACAAGTATCATTCTGTGACGTATCCAGCAAGATTTTTCCTTATAGAGTTATTTTGAGGATTGAAGCAGCATGTAAGGGTCCCTAAAAGGGATGGATTTAATGTAAATACACAGCTGTATGTTTTCATTAAGACTGAAGTTACATTATGATTCAAAAATGTTAAAAAATCATTTTAAAGAATATTCTTCATTTTGTTATTTACTTATTTTCATATTTCAGGTAGAAATGTCTTATTCTCTCTTTTAACAATGTGGCACAAGTAGTGGTAAGTCCTAAGGCAGCTAGATCACTTGTTGTTGTTCTTTTCCTATTGGATCTTCAGTTTTCAAACTAAGCGTGCCACCCAACTGAGGAAGAGGAAAATATAAACATATTTTATGTGCATTATTCAGAAGGAAAAAAAAAATCACAATAACCTTAATGCAGAAATAACTACCTCTCAAGTGTGCTTTGACATTAAGTTTGTATTGAAATATGTCTTGTTTTTTTTTTTCTTCTACCAGGTGAAAAATGGCTTGTGGGTGGTACATGATGGGTAGTGCCTCGGTGCAGGCTGCTGTAGTTCCCTTCTCAGTACAGGTAGTTTTCAGAGCTGTGGAATTTGCCTCTGTGGGTGCATTGTCGGGCTGTTGCCGGGTGTCCTGGACAACTTTCCAGGCTCGGGTTGTGTTTGGAGCCGTGGGGAGGGTACCCAGGCCACAAAGCCACCTCCGAGTTGAGCTTAGCCCGGGCTGCTTCCGTGGGAGCCGAAGCGCCGGCGCTGGCTGCTCCTGCGGGAAGTCCAAGGTCTGTGTGACCCTGTCCCCATCTTCACCGCTGAAAAACGCTGCGTGGCTCCAAGGAAGAGCCGCGGATTGCAGGGCAATCCATCTTCCTCACCTATCTCCTCGTCTAGGAGGACCTTGATCCCGATAAGAGAACCTTTTGAGCTTTGAAACGGGCGTTTTAATATCGTTCCATAAAAGTGGTTGTCATTGCCATGGGCTGGTGTGACAGCCCTCCAGAGCTGTAATGAGAGTTCCCCTTCTTCGGGCCGGTGAACTAGTTTGCTTCAGTGGTTCCTGTAAACAGCGCCTTCCACGGGGTAACTCGTGCTGTGGGAAAACACCTCTCCTTTCTCTCTCTTTCCTACCTTTAACTTCATGGAGAATTGCTGTCTTTTGTTAGAAGACCAGTAAAAGATGGTTTTAGTCACTAGTTTCATTTTTAGATGACTTTTTTGGTGATGCTTTCTATCAGTTTGTATGCCAGGCTTCTCAAAATCCTTGTTTAGGAGCTTTTCTACTCTCTTAGTCATTCCTTTCAGTTCCTTAGTCATTCCTTCCTATCAGTTTCTTTGAGAACTGATATTTGCAAATATAAAAGTAGCCAGTATTGCATATACAATCCCATATAAAGGCTGACCACGGGGTTCTATCTACATTTCATGATATGAAAAATGATTTGATATCATATTTCTTATACAGTTCAAAGCTTGTACACTTGATTTATCAGCCCCTTCTCCAGATGAGTTCTATTAAAAAATACAGCATTTTCTGCATAAATTTAATTTGCCACAAATTTCAGTCTACATAATGACATAAATTGCTTTCTTCAGAACACGTGGGCATATTAAAGCAGTGATTTAATTTTATCTTTTAGTAAAATTAAATGATTTTAGAATGAGCTGATATTTCTTCCTCTGACTGAACTGCGTGTCTTATTCCAGAGCATTAAAGACCATATCTCTGTATGGGCTTTCTGGCCTGTCTCCTTAAAATTGGAATTTAATTCCTTTCTGCAGCTGGGACACGGTGAAGAGCTTGGCACCAGGCGCTCGTGTTCTGCATGTTGGTCTTCGCGTGGTCGATGTTCGTAGTGTGGTGGGAGCTGGGTTGGGTGCCCAGGGAGCACAGCACTTTGTGCTTCTCCTCAAAGTTTCCTCTATCCCCTAAATCCTGTGGGTTTACAGTGGTATTGGTATTGCTGGTGCTCTTTGTTTCTACATTTTTGAGGTTTCTATGACATATTTGTGGTTCGGGAAGTTGCGTGCTCTAGTTCTCGCAGCGACGGAGCCCGATTCCCCTCTCGTGCTTGGTTGTTGGAGGCCACAACGAGCCCGGCCTCCGAGCGGCCGCCTCCCCCCTGTTCCAGCTCCAAGCAGCAGGGTCTGGCCACCAGCCAGGAGGCTCGCTGGCCTCCAGAAAGCTGCCTCACGAGGACGGGTTAACCCGCGCACCCCCAAACGCTCCCTTCAAAGCCCAGCATCCTTCCCGTGGACACTGGTCGTGCTCCTTTTGGCCGCCCTCGCCAAGGGGACGTTTTGGAAGCCGGCTCGTTTGTGTACATGAAGGGACTGGAAGCAGGAGTGTTCCTGCAGGCCCCATGTGCTGTTAGCTCTCCTGCTCCCTTCCCCTTTGGAGCGTGTTTGCAGAGAAGAGGAATGGGACAACAAGTCTGTGCGGGGAGCTCGGGGTTGTTACCTGGCTGGGCAGGATGGCTGCGTGTGCTGCGGCGGGCAGGCGGGCTGCTAAAATACCACCTAAGCACAGGGACGCTTTATTTATTTATTAGCAATAAAATATAGCAGGCACTCCATAGCGAAGCAGTTCTTAAGGAGCAATGAAGTGTTTGGCATGGATATCCTGAGGGATTTCTCAGGACAGTGCACTGTTGGACTGTTGGGTCAGGCATTTTTAGTGTCCTCCTCCTTCCTAAATTGGTGATCAAGTGACCTTGTACAGAAATCCATATGCAGGTGTGGGTTTCTGTGCTCTGTATGTGTATGGTGATTGCTGTTGGTTGGAGAGTAAAGCTGGGTAGCCCAGCGATCATCAAAATGCCTTTTTGAAATGGAAACCAGTATTTTCTTCATGATACAAGCAACAAACTTAGCACTAGTTTGTCACTCTATTAAAATAAATTAGGAGGAAAAATATATATATTTTACCTCATTTGAATCTTAGTGAAAATCAATTCCAGCTGGTGGGTTTACACAGTATAAAATTATTGTGTAGGAAATTCCAGTCAGAGCTAGTGTCACAGCAAGTGTCCTTGTTGGTTTTTTTTATGTTTTTTTTCCACAAACTGTTTTGAAGTTATTAACCCTTTTTGGTTCCCCACTGAAATATTTCAGTGTTTCCAGAGGAGGACGCCTCGGCGTGGGCAGCGTCCGTGTTCTGGAAGGCTTTTCACGCCGCGCTCGCCGGTTGAAGGCCCTTGCGGTGGGTGTTCCTGCTGAGGTGTGAGCTATCACACCGCGCTTCGTGCTGGAGCCGCTGCCCGAGCCGCACAGCAGCAGCGCTGGTCGTCCTGCCTCGTGTGACCGTCTGAACACGGTCTCTGTGGCTTCGGTCTTGCCTGGGAGGTCACCGCGGGCGCCGCTTTCACACCTCCATCCCCAGCAGCAGGAGCAGCTTCCGAGCACGAGTTGCTGTCAGAGGGGAGCTAACATCCCACCTCTCTTTTTTATTACCCATCTAATCCTTCCTTTCACATAATCACGGATACAGCAGAATTTTTCAGCCGTTTTAGTTTTTCTCTTGCCTGTTTTTAGGAACAGATTTACCTCTACGTGTCTCAGTTGCTGGCTGCGCACATGACACAAAGTCTGGCCTTTTAAAGCCTTTGATGCTACTGCTGCCTAGTCAATTTACGTTGCTAAATATAAACTTTGCAGTGGTCTCCTGACATAATAAGACTAATGAGAGTTGATTGAAAAATGCAGGCAGCTGTGGGAGTAGCCGGTAGCTGGAGCAGGCAGCGGTAACACTCCTCGTGGGAAGCAGGAACAGTATTTTCATGTATATGAAGTGTCTTTAATGACACTTAAAGACCACTTTGAAGAGGTCTGCTTTGAAAATTCCAAGGAAGGAGCAGTTTCCTGCAGTTTCCTGCAGTTTCCTCCAGCAGGCTGCAGTTCCAGCCTCCGCTATTCACGCCACGAGTGCTGCTGAGATGGTTTTTATGGGCTCCAGCTGCGAGTGTGGAGGGTGCAAGCCGGAGTGGCAGCCCGAACAGGATGCAGCAAATGGGGTAGAGGAGCAACGGCTCATTAGCACCTTCCAGGGATCGTGGAGATGAAAGGGGAAGACATCAATGAGTGGGGAGAGCAGCTCCCGGGCCTCTCCAGCAAGGCCTTGGGAAGCGTTAGGTTGTGATGTGATTTAGTCACTGTAGAAGGACCCCTCTTGGCTTCCACTTCGGGAAAAGCAGGAGTCCATGCCGAAGGAAATGTATTAATTTTGTTCCTTCCAACGAAATGAATGAT